ATCTCACAGCATCGCTGTCTTTCTTTTTCTCTCTGGTCTTTCCCGTAATGCATTAGCTATCTGATACCATGCAGCTTTTATTTCACTCGGATGATTCAGTAATGGTCTCTAGATGGTCAAAGGGCTTGATTACTTCCTGCAGACTTGATCTCTGACAATGATAGTTATTGTTCCTCTTTTTAGTTCTCTAAAATACTTTTATGACTGTAACAACTGGAATAAAAAACAGCGCACACTTTGGAAGTTGTTGCATCAAATAAATTGCTTCATTTGCTCTTAATATAACAGATCATATAATAAATCATTATATAAAATTCTAACCAAACAAACAGGAAAATCTCCCCCACATTAGCTCTGAGAAATTCATGAGCACCCTCGCCCTCCCTCTATTTCAGTTTCTACATCTCTTTACCATCTCTCGCTTACAAACCACATCCTGACCACACTGTCACGAGAGACAGAATCAAATGATATATAATTCAAATGAAATACTTCACGTAATGTTACATAAACATTTTATATAAACCTACATAAATAATTTAAACGCAGTCTACTTTTGGATGACAGGCTTTTTGTCCGCAATATGCTTAGTCTATGGCATCTACCAGCAGATGTGATCAGGGCCCCTCACAAAACATTTAATCTTACCATTAAGAGTTCTCCTAAATAGCAGTAAAAGTTTTTAGCTAAGCGTTTTCTCTTAAAACCTATTCACAAAGCTGCTGAGACAAACTTTTACTAAGGAATAGAGAGAAGCCTTAAGCTAAGAGTAAGGGGGCGGGGTTGACCTCGTTGCTATGGATGATGTCAGTGTACTTACACACAGTGATTGGCTGGGGGGGGGGGGTCTCTGTCAGAGATTTATTCATAGAAATATTGATATATTGAAATATTCATAGAAAGAGCACGATGTTGCCATATATAAAGGTTTAAAAATAAAAATGTTCCCACATTCAAATAAAGATTTTAAAATGCAGGCTAAGTGTCACTAATTAAACAAGTATATGTTCAGCTAATTGTCAGCCTCCCTTAACGAACAGCTCACCTTTCACCTCCGGGCCATCCGAGATGTCGATGACTTTCTTTCTTCAGCAGAAGAGAAACTAAGGAGTTGAAGGAAAACATTCTAGATTTTTCTCCATTGAATGCAAGTGAATGGGGCTCAACGTAGACCATATTTAGACGGCCTCAAAGTAATCCACACGAGCCCAGCCGACAAATAAGGGTCTTCACTAGCATAAAAGGATCTGCTTTTAAACATGCACTTTTAACTGTTCGTCTTGGTCCAGCTTGGCTTGGTTCTCGGCCGGTTGCGTGACAGATGCGGTGACACAAGAACCGCCTCATCGTTACAAGTGTAATGTGATAAGTCATAATTTAGTATTACATTCAGAAATTATCTAAATAATAAACATTATAAACATAATAAAATAATTAAAAACTATAAACAAAGCCTGGGCTATTTTCGTTCCCCTCACATCAAAGCAAATCATTTAAATGTAACAACACCGTTGTTCAGAACAGAACAAATAGAAGCAACTATAATTATCATATAATATTATAAAATAAAATAAACAAAAACACCATGCAATAAAACATAACAAATAAATAAAATAGCTTTGTAGACTGAAATTTGATGAACTGAATCTCTATTGGCGCAGCGTGAGCGACACTTTAATGCGACTCTGTAGCTGAACAAATGCTGCTTGTTACAAAGACACACACAGCGGTCATCGTCTGCTGCTTTAAAAAAATCAATAGATTCATTAATCACCAAAACACACATTCACTTCAGCAAAACCAAACACAGCAGCCACTGCCAGTGTCACATCTACCCGTGGCCATCATCCATCAAGCTTATTTATCACTATATAACAGTGCAGTATGCAAATCAACCTGAAGTGATTAAAGAGTTTTAAGCACATGCAAATGGCCGGCTGTGTGGCGGCTTCATTAGTGTGGCGGTAATGTGCCGAGCGGGAATAACCGCAGAACCACAGAGAAATAAAGAGAGACGGCCGCAGAACAAAGACTGAGTTACAGAAGACAAAGCGGTCTTCAGATGTTAAAGGTTCTTTATGGAACCATTTAGACAAAAAGGTTCTTCTATAGCATCGTGAAGCACCTTTATTTTTAAGAGTGTATGCAGACTGTATGATGATGACACATAGTGACACAAGTTACTATAGAAGAATAAAAGGTCATCAGCATGCGCTAGTGGTAAACAAAAAGAGCATGATGAAGCACAGTTTGGCAGTTGTACTGTTTTTGCTGAAAAAAGAGGAAGCTGTGAAAGAGGAAGTTAAAAGAGTTTGAGGTAAGCAGTTTTAAGTTTTAGTGCCATGATCAACATGACATTTCATGTGGCATTTTTATTGGCTGGTCAGTAAACGTGGGTCGTAGCAGCAAACACACTGTGCGATGATCGTGCTGAATTTCTGACACTGTCAGAAAATGATCGCAGGCTATCTTTGCTCGCAAGACCGTGACAACGGCCATCTTTGAACCACTCTTACTGTACGACATAAGACCACCATTTAGGAGCCACGATCACAGAAATCGTCACGATTGTTTCACAATGCCAATCTTTCATCTGGAACAGCCGAAAATCCTGCAGTGTAGGCGGCTTTAGTTCTCTCTAGATCATGACTTACAATCTCAACAGCTATCTTGACAAAAATATTTTATTTAACAATAATGCATGCCCTCCCCTCAACTTTTGTCTGCTTGATGACACCCCTGCAGATCTTTTCCATCATTTTCTGCATTAGGAAACCATGCTCTAAAGCCATACACTTCTGTTTTATCCTCCCACGGGGTTGTTTAGGCCTATAATTTCTGTTAAATTAATTCTTCTATAAGAAATGTAATAGTTTATCCCATTCTATCTGCCTTGAATCATCCTTCTTGTATTGTTCCCACAGGGCAAACCATGAGGTCTGAAAGGGATATTTTCACACCTGGAGGCTATATTTAATACACCTATAAACACATCAAACTCCATCTGGTCTGCGCTCGTGACAATCAACACAAAGAGAATGTGTGAGGGGAGGGTTTTTCCCATCATTACTCAACTTACATCCTACAAAGAGCAGCTGTCAGATGACTCAATAGAACATTTCATATGAGGGTTCAATGGTGAGAAGACATGGCAAAAAAGATATTTAGAAACGTCATTATATATTAGATAAATCATGTTTTAATTTGAACTAGTTTTGAGCAGGTTAGTGAAACTGAAAATAGCCTAAATTGTAATTATTTTCCAAACAATGCTCTTGTACATGTCTTCTGATTAATGCTCATATTGATGTTCTTCTCTCCACTTTAACTGTAAATCCAGATCAGATAATAACAACTGCAGTAATCTACAGAAGTCCATCATCAAGCATCCTCGAATCATCCGCACACCTGCTCATCTTCTTTGAATCCTTCAGCACCGCAGACAATGAATCATCATGATGCTTCTGCTCAAACATGAGGACTTCTGGTGACAACCAGAAACACAGGAGGTCTACTTTAGGACAAACGTTTCGCAGAGATGTTCAGTTCATCATAAACTGAGTTTCACTGTGTTGTGTGGCGATAGTTCACAGTTGTCTCTGTTCTGTCCACATCCAGCAAGCCTAACTGTAAGGAAGAAACATTCAACATCACAAACATGACTAAACTTCTGAGTTGACAGGAAGTAGATGAACAGACCTTAATTCATTCCTGAAACTGTAAAGTAAATAACGTATTATTTAAAGTAAAATCAGTCACGATCAGATAAAATGTTTACTGACCTCAGGCAGATCTTCCTTCTGAAGGCAGTAGATGATCTGTGTGTATTCTGACATGTTTTGCTGTTCTATGATTGTCAGATCTACAAACACAGACACGTGAGGATATTTTGCTAGTATATTTAATATCAGTAAGTTCTGTAGTTTTCTGCCATCTAGTGAAATATGATGGCATGACAATGGATACTAACTGGAGATACACTGCAAACAATGTCTTGTTTTTTAATTATAAATATCTAAACATTATTTAATCAAGGTGCATTTACTTGAGAAGCAAAATTACTTAAGATATTATGTCTGATTTTCTGGAAAATGTATCAAAATTTTGTTAGTTTTTTGTTAAAATGAGAAAAAATATCTGCCATTGGGAAAAATCTTAAAATCTTGAGTCATTTTGCTTCTCATGTAAATCCACCTTGATTAAAGAATGTTTAGATATTTATACTAAGCAAAAATACAAAAATACTAAGTAAGAAATCAATAATATAGTAAGCTTTGTCAGTTACTTACCCTTTTGTTGTGCTTGACACAATTTCCTGCAGCAGCAGTACATCATTATAACAGACATGAACACCAACAGCCACACACTGACTATTATCATTAGAATCACATACGAATGCTGGCTCTGTTCTGTAATGAACACAGAGAGAAACACTTTCTGTTCTGAATTCAGCCAAAATAATATTAAGTGTCAGTCTATATATAGGAAGCGTCAGTCTTACAACGAGCAACAGATAAGTAACATCACTGACCTGAACATGTGTAACAGAGTTGACTGATGTCCAGATGTGTGGTCTGGTTGCTGATGGGATTGTTGAGCACACAGCTGTAGCTGTTTTTATCCTGATATTCCACCTCCAGAGGTAGAGAGAGACTGATGCTGAGATCAGACACACTGATGCTGGACAATAAACTGTTTCCTTTGTACCAGGAGAGAGTCACATCACTCACATTCACAGCTGAACACAACAATGAACATCTGGACACGGATGATCTTTCAGATGATGAGGAACAGTTTAAAGAGTTACTGGTGAACACAGGAGTGGAAAGAGGAGCTGGAAAACATGAAAGACCAAGTATGTATTATAATCAACAAACTATAATAAAATTAATATGACGCAGATGTTTTCTTGCAAGGCTAATCAAAAAGAAACCAGCATTTTAAATGCAAGGCTGAGAAAGAAATGAATGCTTGTACATCTACTCTAAAACAATGACTGATCATTTGTGCAGCTATTTGATATATTATTTTAACATTTAGTAGGTAATTTCAGTTGTAGTTTGGGCATCATATATCATATTTCATTTACAGCATTGTGAGTTCAGACTAGAATTAAACATTATTGAACAATCCTAGCATTAGTGAGAGTACAGTTTACTCACCATACACAGTAACACTGAAGCTCTTCAATGAGGTTTTTCCACTGATGATGACAGTCAGTTCATAAAGTCCAGTGTGTTCAGATCTGATGTTTCTGATGGTCAGAGATCCAGTTTGATTGTCCATCAGTAGTTTGTCTCTGAATCTCCCATCATTACTGACAAAAATAAAGTTTATTTGGTCTCTTTTAATGATTTCAGCTATTCGAGTGTTTTGAGGTCCAAACGTCCACCGTAACTGATCATCTCTCTGTACTTTAACATCAGTGTGTAAAGTGATAGATTCTCCCTCCAGCACTGATACTGACTTCACTTCATCTGTCACAACAACAATCACACCTGAAACAAAGTTTTTTTTTTTCAGAAAAACAAAGGTTGTTCAATGCAAATTAATAGTATGGAATGAATTGAACTAATCATGTCACATATACCTGAATTCAGTAAAAGCAAAATTAAAATGAAATCACTTACAGTTTGTGACAAGCACAAATAGACTGAAAACAGCAGGATTTGACATTACATTCTTTAAAATTTGTCCGAAACGATGAACAACAGAGATTCAAGAAATAATCTAACTATGTTTTCTTCCGATGACCTGATGAGTCCTAAATGCATGAACACACTGCTCACAAATACAGGGTTTGAGTCCAGACCCCATAAACTCAGCCTAAAAAAAGCAGACCA